GATTTAGAATCAAGATATTGAGCATATAGCCAAAGTTTGAGTTATTAACCTCAAAGGTCTTTTTTGAAGTTTACTCTATGAATATAAAAGCTATAGACTTGTAATTTGGGTGTTATATATATTTTTGTGAGCTAAACAAGTTTATTTAGAAGATAAAATGGTTAACTCAATAAAATTTTGTATAAATAGACATTTTTTGTTAGACAAATTTTAAGTAAATTTTGTGTTAGGAATTTGCAAAAAGAGTTGTGTTTTTTTTACTTTCTAGTCTTGTTTTACTTAATATTATATATACAATATATAAATTTACTATATCTAATCAACTAGCTATTTTAATTTCTATTTAACTTTTCTTCATATTAACAAACCAAACATTTGAATTCCATATTGCAGTTCTAAACCCCAATTTCAACTCTAACAATTTTAGCTATTTTCTTTAATAAACTACTTTTCAATATACTCTTTGCATCTAATACTTCCAATACTATCTATTAAATATCTTCTTTAAAAGTATTTTTTTAGTATTTTAATTGAATTAAATATTATATATGCCTATTATTTATTCTTAATTTATTCCAAATCTAGATAAGTATTAGCCACTCTAATAAATTTAAACTACAGATAAGTTACTAGATTTACTTAATTTATTAGATTCTTCTAGTTATATATCTAATTTCTTATTTTTTTATACTAGGCTCAAAATATAAAACTTTTTTCAATTATATATTAAGTTTAATAAAGATAAAAACAAGGTTTTATTTTAAGTATTAAAAAAAAATAATAATAATAAATTTAAAAAAGAAAGCTAATTGGTTTACCTTATTTAAGCACTAATATATAGATATAATAATTAATTGTTTTTTTTATCTTGTAGATAAAGTTTTTGATTTTTTTTATTTATTAGTTCTGGTAATATACAATATTTATAAAGAATAAGTATTAGGCTATATAAACTTAATTTTTTGTTTCTCATAACCCGGCCAGATCATATTTTAAAAATTTTTTGAAAAAAATTTTCTATATGTTTTAAAAGCCGGGTGGGATTTCAAAAAAAATTTTTTAAAAATTTTATAAAATTTAAAATTTTTTATATATAAAATTTTTAAATAAAAGTCCGGGCAGGCAGGTCATTTTTTTTGTTTCATGTTATGAGAAACAAAAAATTAAGTTTATATGGCCTTATATTATTAGTATTTTTGCAAATTTTTTAATTTTTTATAAAGTAATCTATATATCTTTTAATCATAATTGAATTATTTCTAGCAGTAAGCATATTAGTAATATTTAGAAGATATTCTTTACTAACTATTTGATTTGTATGTAAGGTTTTATTATTGTATACAAATTTTTTTTGTAATATAATTTAATTTTGTAATAAAGATAGCAAACTAAAGTTGAATGTATTTTATAATAAAAAAAATTTGTATCTTCAATTAAATTATTAGATTTATCTTTATATTGTTTATTATTATCTTTCTTAATTTATTTAATAGTATTTGAATACTAAAATAAAAAAAATGTCTTTATTATAAATATTAGAATTATAATTATTAAGAAACTTTTCAAAAATATCTAACATGTTACTAATAAGGCTACAATAATTATTTATATCTCAAAATTTACTTAGTAATACCTGTTATATAACTAACAAAAAATATTTTTCTTACAATTTTAGTCTAAAAAAACTTTAATTCTAACTCTAATGTTAGTCTTTATTTTTTTTTTTGCTATTAAAACTTAGAAGAGCACAAAGTAAATAGAGATACTATTTAGATTTTTTAAAAAAAAATATATAAAAAATTAAAAAATATATATATAAAAAAGTATAAAAATAAAAAAAAATAAAAAAAATAAAATTAGAAATTTTAAAAAAATAAAAAAAAAATAAAAAATTAAAAAATATATAAAAAATTTAAAATTTAAAAAAATATATAAAAAAATCTAAAAAATATGTAACAAATAATTCAGGTTTATTTGAATCTAAAATAAGTTTATTTGAATCCAAGTAAAATTTATTTAAACCCAAGTTAAGTTCATTTTAACTCAAGATAAGTTTATTTAAACCTAATTTGGTTTATTTAAACTCAGAACAGGTTTGTTTGAACCCAAAATAAATTTGTTTAAACCCAATTCAGGTTCATTTGAACCCAAGTTGGGTTTATTTGAACCCAATTTGGGTTTATTTAAACTCAATTCAGATTTATTTGAACTTTATTTAGGTTTAGTTGAATCCAAGTTGAGTTTATTTGAAACCAATTTGGGTTATTTGAACCCAAAACAGATTTATTTAAACTTAAGATAAAAAATAAATTAGAAACTCAACCCCAGGTAATGAAGGTCTAAGGATTAACAAAAAATTAAAAACTCAAACCTGGGTAATGACTGGATCCTAAGAGCTAGTAATTTTATATTACCATCTATACTATAGATCAACTAACTGGACTTCAAAGCTAATAATTTTCAAGTTTAATTCTATAATATTTCAGGTTCAAATTACAGTCTTATAAAATCAGTATAATTTTTTGTTATTTTTTCTAACAATAAATACTAACGAAAATTTATTGCTTTTATTTTTTCAATATTATTCTAAATGTTAAAAATGCTACAATATCAATATAAGTGATTCTTTAATTAGTAAGGGGTTTAACATTCTGGCTGTCACAACAAATTTGATTGACAATTTTGGGTTCTGCAATCTTTTCATATGTTCATCTTTTTTTAGGTTTAACAGTTTCGTCCACATTTTAAACAACTAAAAAAGAATGGCCTATGTGTCGAATTATGATATTGTAATTTACAAAAATCAATATGAAATGAATAACCAACAGAAGATCTGTACGTATCATTGTGAATGACAAAAATAGTATGTAAAAAGTGCAAGACACTGTACGTATGTATGTACGTACCTATTTTAAAAAATTATATATACCATATTGCGTATATATATAATATAATTTCAAACCTAAAACAGTAATATATGGCAGAATCAGGATGGTAAATAGTAGTGTTGGGATCCGTTTTGTCTTGATTTTCCGAAGATCTTTTGTTTTGTCGCCGGTCCGGGACCAGACTTTTTCAGGACCGATGCATCCTTATATAGTAGTATGAGATATATAGGAAATAAAAAATACAATGAATAATAATTAACACACTGAGATAAGAAAGATAAATTAAATTTATGAACCCAAAGTGTATAGAAATCATTGAGTACTACCAAGAGAAAATGAAACATCGGACTTTCAATTTTATCATTTTTAAAGGTCAAATCTGGTAAATAATAGATTATAAATTGAAAAGGTGTCATTTTCTTCTCTCTTTTATGATAGTTCATCAATCGGAAATAAAAACTATACCATACTTAAATTATAATTTAAAATTTTGTAAAAATATTATATCTAAAAACTAAGCTTTCACAAATTTTGCTATAGCATCATTTATTGCGCTTTTCAAAAAGATGTGCCTCTGCAGATCACAATGTCGTGTGGGAAATGAATTTCACTGATCTTGAATAAATATAAGTACAAATATGAAATAATAGACAATTTAGAATCTCGGGAATTTTCCTTGATCAACATTATGGGGTCACATCTTTCATTATAAATTGACCACATGCTTATCAGTAGTGATGGACACCGCGCGTGATCCGCGCGGATCGCGAACATGATTCCGCATCCCTCGCGGAGTTTTTAGAAAAACAGCCGATTGCCCATCACTACTTACCAGGAACGTAGAGAACGTAATGTATGGATCAGTTCAAGTTTGGCGTTCATACATAAAATCTTGATTTTGATAGGGTACAGTATAGAATAATTTTCATAAGAAATGATTTATCAATTATTGCGGCTTGCAAAATTATGTGAAATTTGCAGATCAAAAAAAAAGAAAGAAATCGATTTCTTAAATATTTTTTTGCAGAAATAGAAGTTGCAGATTCATTATTTTGTAACATACATGATTTGTATCTTTTGTAGGAATATAATTTACAAGTTGTAAAGAATTGGATTGTGTATAATTAAATTATGTTTCTTTTTAGTCCAATAAAATTTACTATTGCATGATGAGCAAGAAGAATATTTAAAAATTGCACCAAATTTAATTTTATAAGAATTATTAAATGATCTAGAAAATTGATTTGTTTATTACCGAAAGGATCATGAAATTTCGTTTTAGTATAATTTTTTTTATTGGAAATATCTTTTTTTCACAGTTACAATGAGTTTTAGAAATAGTACAAAAAGACACTTTGCGCTTAGCATGTTCCGGGATAATAATTTTTGTTCATTAGAGTTTTTTTTTTAAAAAAAAATGTATACTAAATAAATATATAATATTAGTTGACATACATAAGTCATGTTAAGAAATCGGAAATCAGGCACATATAAGAAATTCATAATAAATAATTATTACACTTATTGGCGAAATCGAATTGAATAAGTGACAATTTATTGACCAAGTTAGTACAGATAATATACCAATAAGAGGTGTATACATTGTTTCAAATACATTGATTAATAAATTATTGCTATGCTTATCAGTTAAATTAACATTTAATGAGAGGAGATCCAATGGTTAAATCAATATGAAAGTACTACCGATTATTAATTTCTGAAGTGGCAGTAATTTATCGTAATATAACTTACGAAACAGTGAAAATTTTTATTTAAAACTAATTTAATATGAAGAAATGGCTGATTTCAATTGCGCTTACTATTATAACCATTACAAACTAAATAAATAACTTCTGTTCACTATTTATAATTAGGATTTCTTTCCAATTACTATGTTTTCATATTGATATTCTATAAAATGGTGTTCGATTAGAAGATCAGTGTAATAAATTTAACCTCTATTGAATTTTTCTTTTCTTTTCATGGATTTCGAAGCCTGCTTTTTTTCTATAAAAAGGACATCAAATTATAAATAATCATACCAAGAAAAAAAACATCTGAATTAAAAAAATAACAATTCCTAAAAATTCCTATCTAATTCGCTAAGAAAACATGAAGAATTTTATTTTTGTGTTCAGTTTATTTGCTATTTTTCTTACTGTAAATGCAGTCCCATTTCAACTTAGTAAAAGAACTACCACCTTCAAAGCTTGTCCTGTTGAAGGTGTTAGCCAACTTACTGTGGGAATAAATCCTGACCCCCTTGTTAGCGGAAATCCCGCTGATTTCAATGTATCCGGAACATTAAGCCATGGTCTCACCGCAGGCATAACTATTCTTAGAATTGCTTTTGCAGACTTATTCGAAAATCCTATAGGTGACCATTACTCTAAAATTTTCGACGAATCATTTAAAGCTGGTAACCCACTTTCGATAATTGTAAAAAGTGTTCTTGTTCCTAGCTTACCTTCTTCATATATTATTGGAGTTGCTGTTGGAGATCCAACCAATGATCCAAATAATCCATTAAAAGTTTATGGCTGTGCGTTTGCTGTTGTTGGTTTAACTAAATCTTTCGATGATAGTGCTTTATTTGATATTAATAATAGAGGCATGTTTATACAATAATTCTATTTACTTTAGTAGCTATAAAGTTTTAACAAATCTATATTAAAAAAGAATTATCAGATTTATAATATTATAATATTATTTTTTGTTATTTATAATTTTTTTGATATAATATCCTGTACCTTGATTATTTATTTAATAAATACATCCAATTAGTTAATAAATTTTTTGCTAATCAAAATTTAATTTTTAGCATATTTTGACAGAATAATTTAAATACTGTATAATAATAATAATAATATAAATACTCCAATTTCTAATATATGGGGTCTTTGCCTTGAAAATGATCTATAGAACTATGTAGATTTTATGAATAAAAATTAAAATTTTTACAATTTAATAATCCAATTCAAATAATTTTTTTATATTATAGAACTCACCAAGCTCTATAAAATAAAAAAAAAGTTTATTTAAATTTATTAACAACAAACTGTATTGTATTATTAGATATGGTTAATGCCTATTTTGAGTATATTTGTAGCTTTGGTTGTGGAATTCCAAAAATTATGCTTGAAGAAATGCTTGAAGACTGAAAAAAGCTTCAAGAAAAAGTGATTCAATTAAGAAAAGTGAATTTAGAATTAGACTTTTGGTTAGATTGGCTTAAACCTGTAGTTTGAAATTTATTAGTAACTAATTGTGATAAGATTAATGAAGATTTCTGAAGTAGGATTGTAAAAATAGATGAAATATTTGGTTCAGGAAGAGGTACTTATATTACTGGATAGATGATAAGCTTCTTTCCTTATAACTTGTCCAGATTGCCTCTAAATTTTGATTATTTAGAAGTTGAATATTTTCTAGACAGCATTGTTAGAGCACCCTTTGAAATTGACAAAAGGCACAAATTAAAATTTGTAGCAGGATTTATTGGCGCTAACCAAGAAATTCTTGAAGACTCTGATTGTGAATTAGTTGTTTCTTCTGTGGTTGGATAAACTATTATCAATAATACAAATAATTCTTTTGATAAACAAAATTTTGAATTAATTATGAATCTGTTTTCAAATTATTGTATATATAATAGATTTATTATTTTTTTATTATTTATCTATTTATTTATTTTTAATCAAAAATTCATTTATACACATTAAGATAGTGTTGTCAATTGGACATGTCCAATTAAATATTTTGATTGAACAGTTTTAAACATGTTCAAAATTGTTTCAAATTGTCTAAAACTGTCCAAAACTGTTTAAAATTCTTTTAAAATTATTGGCATTTAATATTAGTATTTTTAAGCAATTTGAAGATCAATACAAGTTTTTTATAATTATATATTATAAAAATTTAGTATTTGAAGTTATTATTTAAGTTATTTGCAATGTTATATATAAATAATTTTTTTTTTTTTTTGGGTGTTAAGATGACCTCTATGGCCAGGAACTTTTTATTAGACTTATTAACTTCAGGTTATACAGTTACAATGAGGGTACATCAAGCTACATGTGTACTTTTAGTACCTAATTTAAGTAATTCATCTTGGTTCTACACTAGCCGCCATACCTGCAACCTAATTAGAAGATTACCTATTTAAGCTCTCTGATTATTACTAATAAGAGTAAGGGTCACCTATAGGATTTTTGGATAAGTCTGCAAAACCAATTCCAAGAATAGTT